TATCCCTCCTAACAGTTGAAAGAAAAATTTTCTAGCGATTTTTGAGAAAATCTTGTTTTTGTATTTTTTTCAAATTTCACTTATTGCACGCAATATTGCGCGAAAACTACCAATGTTTTAAAAGAATGTACAAGACCTTAATGAAAGATCTCACTAGGAGGAACGAATTTTATTTGAAAGAAAAATTTCTTTCTTTAATTTTGTAGTTGTAGGAAGACAACCCCAAAAAAATTTTTTTTGAATTTTTCGAATATTCAGAGTAAACCGTGAAAATTGGACCTATGCCACGTTTATAAGTGTATGTTACTCTATTCTTATAAGAAATTGAAATTAAAAATTTGGAGCAGATTTTTGAGAAAATTTTGAAAATGTCCGGAGAGCTTCATGTAAAGTACCCCCAAATTTTGAAGAATGTTTTTCAAAATCTCAACATTTTGTCTCTAGCCAAATGGACAGGCGTTTCTTCAATTTTAAAGAAATCCTATGTATGGTTTAGGCGCTAGTAGTGTTCACAGACACCAGACGGAACAACCGACGGACGTTTTAAAAACCTACTTTTGACTACTTTTTCGGTATTAGAGGACCCCAAAACGAATAATTCCGTTCATATCTCGAGACTATTTTCCGCAGCATTACTTAACTTTCCCTATACTACGTATATTAATTCGTGTATAAGTACGTATACGGGAAAGTAAAACTGCATGGCTTAGATGAAGTATGGATGACTAGAAGAGTGCTGAATAGCAATTTAAAATACTCAATCAAATTATATTTGTTAGATGACAGTTGCCTTGATGAATTTCAGTTTGAATCACATAATTTATAAAAGTAATGATATGTATATTATAAGGAAATAAATAAGGAACTTCGGATATATACTCATACTTTTGTCGTAACAAATCTATTGGTTTGTTTTATATAGCGTATTTATACTTTTCATAATATATCATATTGAATCCCCACATACTTATTTGTTTTTAATTTATGCTTATCTAACAACTAATTGCAGACGTTTTGCATAAACATTTTCAAATCAATGTAGTGGAATAGACTTTTTTGGTCAAGTGACGCTGCATACGGAATTTGACTCCTAATAGTGCGTCACCGAAAGGCAAGTGGAGGGAACCACCCATGTTTAATGTTACACGCGTTAATACCTTCACGGAGACAACATACGCGTAAGCTTATGCAGTTCAACCAGGACGTTTAATACCAATATCGAGAAAAAATCGTTTATATACTCATTTTAAGATGATTGATGGTCATTTGAATGATCACCACCAATCTTGAAGCATCCTTCTGAAGTTTGACACAGATTTTGTGTTTTCTGAACTAGATGTTCATTTGAGTCGCTTGCGTATCTTCGGATCTTTCAAAGGGCGGAGGCCGCAGGTGCCCAGAGCGCTCACCTGACAGGTGTCCTTGCCGCCCGCCGACTCGCCCGCGCACATCTGGCTGCCCGCAATGCCTCTGGGCAGCGACTTGCCGTTCACGTCGAACTTAAAGGACTCGTTGCAGGCGGCGCTCGCCACCAAGTGCAGGTTCACCTTCAGCAGGTCACGACTCGTCTGGTCCGTCTCTGCGCACAGTCGCCTCGCTGTCATGGTGCACCTTCGCAGAAAACTAGGGTGCGGTACTTGCGTCGAAACCTATAACTCAAACCCATCTTTCATACTCGTATTCTCCTTCTTCAACA